GGCATGGAAAGGAAATGATGTGTTCAAGTCCTGGGAGTGGCAGAGCTGGGACTAGAACTCAAGGCTCCTGATCCCCAGACAAGCATGCTTTTCATCTGACACTGACTCTCTTCCTGCGCATGTCTTTAAAATTATTCTCCCATGGTTTATTTTAATCATCCTTCTGATCTATGGAAGGGAAAATTGAGTCTCCTAAATTTGTTTTTTCTTTTAATCCTCTCATGATTATGTGACAATCCAGTTCAATAATGCTTACTCACTAATTATTTTACAGAACAAATATTGCTCGCCAAGTATTGAGTGGAACCTTTTATTCCTCTCTTCAAAGCATTTTCTACTTAGAAAAGCTAAATACATGTTCCAATCTGGATGGTTCCATTTATGTAAGTCTCGGATTTCATAACATCTATGTCCAGTTGAGGGCTGTATAAGGGGGAAGGAATGTTTAAGTTCACCTAGTCTAACCCTATCACTTTAGATATGAAGAAATAAATCTAGAAAGATGGACTGGTTTGCCCAGAGTGAGGAAAAACTGAGACTAGAACCCGTATCTCTGTCCCTATTTCGGGATTTCCCATCGTATTACCATGCGCCTTTATGGCCTTTCTACCCCAGCTCAGGAAGGCAGTGACTTCCTGCTGCTTGCTTTACTACATTCAGTTTTCATTTTGCTTCTACCCTCACTTCCCAAACCTCTCTCCTCAAAACTGATTTTTCCTCTCCTTTTATCCTGTACTATCCAGTGTTCTTGTAGCCCATATTCATCTGGAATGGAATTAACAAAAGCAAGACTTGACCAAGGCCTTCTCAATTCTTCATCTCATCAAAGACTCTCTCCCCTCTCCTCCCCTCCTCTTCCCCCACCCCCTTTCCTCCATCTCCCTCCCTTTCCCTTCCCTTTTATTCTTTTCTGGGTTTTCTTTCCATTCCTCTCTTCTATCTAGCCAACATGTTCTTTTCCACCAAGTTTTCCCTTGGCATTGTCCTTAAACTGATCCCTCCCTTCTGTGTTCAAAGCAATCTGCCTGATCAAAGCTATCATCACTTCTAAGAGAGTAATTTTCCAGGCCTAGTTGCCGTAAGCCTTTGCTCATTCTCTGAGGAAAGACATAAGTTAATGTCATCCCTTAGTAGGACACCTGGGCCTCTCTCCATTACTTCCCTGGCCTCTTGACTGTGGCTGTGGGCATCTTAACACTTCAACCGCTATTGCAGAGATGGGAATTCCTTCAATAGCCAAGGATATCAAATTAATTTTATTTCAAACCATTAACAGACATCATCCCATGAGAGTTTCCAATGTTTCAACAACTTTCTCCTTTGGCTGTCGCTATCAATCTTAGCTGGTTTTTGGATCTTGCCAAATTTGTGTTATCTAGACATTCATGAGTGGTTAGATTTATTGAAGCTCTTTCAGGATAACATCATTACAGTATAATGTTTGAGTCACAGTGACCTCGTTCAAGTGGACTGGTCCTCCTTTAAAAGACACATTGACACCATTTTTCCAGTTAGCTTAACTGTTGTCTTCTATCCTTCCAAATTCCATGTTACTTTCTTCTAATGTGCATTTTGTCTCAGTCACATAGTTGTTGAAAACCCAGGAACTTGGTTCATCCTCCACATTCTTGTAACTCATACTTTAACTTCTCTTGACGAAATTTGTAAGTCCAAGGATCAAATATTTGGGTTCTGTCCCAGGAAACAAGCATGTGGGACATGTGCCTTCTTTCTTAGTATAGGTGATATTGCTGCAAGAGTTAAGAGGAATGAGGAGTTACTGGCAGGAAAGAGGAGAGCCTCTGAAACCAGGAATCACATCCCAACATACTCTCTTCTGATAGAACGGAGTGTGAGGGCAGTGCAACCATTCTCAGCTCAATCACATCTTTCCAACAGTTACATCTCCATTGCACTGAAGGTGCCAACAGCCTCCCAGTTCCCCAGTCTCATAGTCTCCAAATAAGTGCCCTTATTTCCGTCTTCCTTGCTTCCATGCTGCCATCCAAAGTCCTATCAACACCTGATGCTATTTCTACCACAAGTCTCTTAATTTTATTCTTTCCCTTCCATCTCCATGGCTCCTGCCTCCCAGCCCTTTCCAGTGTCTCGATTGCTGCAATAGCACTCTCCTGGCTGTCTCCCCTTATCCAGCCTTGTCCAAATCCAGCTACACCCAAGCTAGAGTTTGAGCTTTCTCAGCCATCATAGAGCTGGCCTCTTTACTATCCTTCTATGCTCCCCACTCCCAGGAGAGTCCTGAGTATACACCAAAATAAAGAACTACCCAGAGTCCACACAGCAAGAGGTTTGTCATAGCCCAGCCACATCCTGCATCTGTGCCATGTCAGTCTGTTTCTGCTCTCTGCCCTGCTCCTGCATGTCTTTCCTTTGGCTCTCTGTCTGCTGCAGACTCTTCCCTGGTGTGTGCACTCCTGGCCCCTCCTTCCCTCAGCTTAAGGCTGTCTCCTCCCTGCCAGTGGATGCTTTGCTGTTATGGCTGGAGGTTTTGGCTCTCTGACCTGGCCTTGGGCCCTTCTCTCTGAATTATCCTCATGTGACATTCTGGCCAGTGTGCCCTTGTGTTCCTGGAACCCACATCCTCTTAGCTTTGCCTCTGGATGAATCAATGTTGAGTAATTTCTGCTGTGTTGGAGTGAAGACACCTGGATTTTTGTTCTGGCTGTTCATGAATTTTGATGTGGGGCATTAAATAAGAGATGGGCTGCCTGTGCTGGCTCTCTTCAGATGCCAGCTCTGTGCACCCTCAGCTCGCCACTTTGCACATGCCTCCCCTCCCCTACACTCCCTTCTCTGCCAGTTCCTGAGCCAGTCCTGACCAAATATAAAAGGCCTTTCCCCTCCAAAGAAAAAGGATGGGTCTTGTTTGTTACGTGGCATCCCTTGTGCCTTGGGCCCCTGCCTATCCATTGACCCGCAGTTTCCCCTTTGGCTCTACCTCACAGAGTGTGAAAACCAGTGTGCTTGGGTTCTGCCACAGTTTCCCCATTTGCACTCAGGTGTCCTGCTTGGGACAGTAGCCTTAATCTTCACACTGACTCTTTTTGAGGTCTGGTCATTTCCTGTTACTTGAGGTAATACTAGCAAGTCAGTTTTTATCTCTAGGGAGTTTAGCTAACACAACCTGCCATTTAGTGGACTCTTACTTTGCTTCAAAAATTAATTAGATTGGACTTTTTGAATGACCAAAAAAAAAATTTTAACTACCAGTTGCATTATAGCACCTTTAAAATATGTAACCAAGAACCAGGGAGAAATCAGAAAGTGAAGACCCCTAAGCTATTAGAAAAGGTGTCTTTTACTCAGAAGAGTCCTGCAGGCTCTCACTCATAGTCTAGTTTTCTTTCTTTACTCCAAATTCTATCAGGTATGGGAATGGAAGGGCAGGGTAGAGCAGGTGCCCCTATTCACACCCACTTTACTAACTCTTTACTCACCTGACGGCTTCCTACTGCAAACACCTGCAGGCTTTTAATAGCGCCTGGGAGTTAAGGAGAGTGGTTCTTAGAGAACGATGGACAAGATTTGGGGATGAAATCCAGGTTCCTGCTCCTTGTGTGGGACAGTTCTGCACAGTTTTATAGAAGTTCCGGCAGGACTGAAGCCCAGCTGTTCATAGTGGTTAAATAAATAGCCTCTCAGGAATGTACCTGGATGGGCTTCCTAGTGTTTTCTGGGATCACTTCCCAAACAACTGGCTCTCAAGTCCTTAATTCAGGGTTGGCTTCTGGGGGAGCTTATGGTAAGGCATACTGCAAGAACAAAAAGCCAGCAAATGATGGAAAGAGAAAATAGGAGAGCTCTGAAAAAATATACACAACAACTAACATATTTTGGGGTCCTGGGGTCCTTTAACAAGGACCACTGGGACACAAGGATAGTGGCATAGTTTCTTTACACAGAAACTATGCCTGAGGGCTGGAGTGTAGTTATCTGAGTGATGTGTATTCTCTTATTTAAGAGGCCATGGGAATAAGTTCGATATTTGAGAATAGGCTCTACTTGAAAAGTGAACACAGGTTGTGATGCTTAAAGAAATGATTTGTTGGCTATCTAGAATTTTGAGTTTCCTGAATGCTCCTTTCCCTGATGACCAGGATTTATTGGATTTTTAGTTGAATTAAAATCATTGCCTTTAAGCCTCAAAGCTCCCGGTTCTAGCAGTTTGGTGATTTAAGATTCACATTCTTTATGTTTTTCAGTCTTTGATGTTATCCCTTCTCATATCCTGTTTGAAAAATGGAACTAGGTTTTTGGGTTTTTTGTTTTGTTTTGTTTTGGGTTTTTTTGCTTTTTTTTTTCTTTTTTTTTTTTTTTTTTAAGTCTGCCTTCCCACAAAAGCCCCCTTTCCTTCTTGGCAATTTCAGTCTTCCTTCTTGTGCACCATTATCTCATTCCTGGGGTAAGGGGATTGGTTCTGCATTCAGTATTCCAAGGGCCAGTGCAGTACACTGAGATTTGTACTTCTGCTTTGTTTCCAATCCAAATTGATTATTTTTTTTTTTCAGTTTTCATCCAGATGTTTATATCATGTAAACACAGCTTGAAAGTGTTCCTGAACTGCTTACAGATGTATGCCAGTGACACCCTTTCCAAATTATATATAATGATGCTCTGGATCTATTTATATCTATGTCATAGTCTCTGGCTTGAATTTTAGCTATAAGACTAAGTTGAAAGAAAGTGAAAAATTCATGTGTTTGGGTAAATTGTCCACTTGATTAAAGACTCCAGATATTTAGAAATAGTCAAGAATTGATGCCATTTTTTCACTGAATACTGACATGTCTGTAACCATGGTGTTATGCCTGAATGTTTGTGTCCATTCCAAATGTACATGTAGAGGCTTGGCCCCTATGTGACAGTATTTGAGCAGCAGGCCTTTGGGAGGTAATTAGGGTTAGATGAAGTCATGAGGGTGTGGCCCTTATAATGGGATTAATACCTTTATAAAAAGAGACGCAATAACTCACTCTCTCTCTCTCTCTCCTCACAAGAAAGGTCAGCTGAGTATATAGCCAGAAGGTGCCCATCTGCTACCCAAGGGTGAAGTCTCACCAGAAACCAATCGTACTGGCATCCTGATCTTAAACTTCCATGCTCCAGAATGGTGAGAAAACTAATTTCTGTTGTTTAAGCTACCTAGCCTGTGGTATTTTGTGGTAGAAGCCTGAGCACATTAATTTATTTGAGGACCTAGATTCTGTTGAGCCTTTTAGTTTATGGTCACAGTGACTTAAATGTGCTGTATACCTATTTAGACCAAGCCAAGACCTATTCATCTAATGTTTGACACCAAAAACATACCCTTTAAGGACCAAGGGTCTGCTCAATTCTTATCAAAGGGTTTATTGCAAGATATAGTATGTATAGGTGATTGCATAGAGGATGTATAGAAAATTGTGTTTTCCAAAGATGGTGAGAACCATATCTCTCATCCATATGCTTATTTATGATGTGATGGCATGCCTTTTACCAAGAAGTGGGGTCTTTGTCCTCTTTCTTTAATCTGGGTGGGCTTGTGACTTGCTTTGTAACCAACCAAATTCAGTGAAAGGGACTTTGGATAATTTCTGAGGCTAGGCCAGAAAAGACTATCTAGCTTTTGTCTGGGTATCTGGGACATTCATCTTTGGAGTGCTTAGCACTTAGTAGGCAGAAGAATTCTGAATACTCTCAGCCTCCATGCAGTGAGGCAGCCCTGACCCTATGGAAAAGCCATGTGTGAGTGCCCCTGTCTGAGCCAATAGCCAGCACTAGCCATCAGCTGTGTAAGTAAAGATGCTTCCAGATTCCGACTTTCACATCACCCCTATGTGAACACCAAATATCATGGAGCAGAGCAAGCTATTCTTGTTGTGCCCTGTCCACCTTCCTCTTGCTCAAAATTGTAAGCAAACTAAAATAATAATTTTAAGCCACTAGGTTTTGGGGTAATTTGTTATGCACCTATAGTAATTGGAACAAGTGTACGTCTCACTGATTCCTCTTGCAAGAAGATCCCACCTCTGAATCACAAAAGTCCAGCAGAAACCTACCTTCCTTAGATCTTGTCTTCAGCTGCTCTTGGGTGTGGTACCCTGTTTTGTACCAGCAGGCAGGATTAGAGGCAGCTATTCTGTAGAGATACTGTTGAAGATGGAATAGAGTTCACTTAGGGCTTAGTGCAAGAAAAATTGTGCTTTCTTGAAGGTACTGGTGTCTTGCAAACACTGTGAATCTTATCATTTGCTGTTTTCCCTCTTTGCGTTGGCTTCTCTGATTCTTGGGACCAATTTTGGAACCAACTTGTAATAATTAATCTTATCTCTTTATATTCTGCTGTATTTATTTTTGTGGGCCCCTCAAAATACTTCTGGAACAACATGAGGTAAGTGGATTAATGAAGGGAACAAATATCCCTCAAACTCTAATGTTTGAGATTATTATTAGACTGAACTAGTTCCAACACATAACTTTATTACAACTAAAAACTAAACATACTTTATGCTAAGACAAAAATGCAAGAAGCTATATGGGGTAGTCTAAGCCAAATGTTAAAAGAAATAATAATCACTACAAGTAACATAATATCGTGTACTAAGCAAAGCAACAAGATCCTTAGAAAAAATAATATTTTTGAGCACACACTGACTCCCAAGCAAAGATTTTTCTAGGTCCTTTATGTACACAATTTTATTTAATCCCTATAAAACAGCTCCATGGACATGCAGTTATGTTATTTTGCTGAAGGCATAGATCAGATCCTGTTCATGTGAACACCATGCAGATGTGATTCTTTCTTGGGGGTGGGGTTTCATTGTAACTAGTTGTGGCCCAGGAGAAATTCAGTGCCCTGGCAGGGAAGACAGAGTCACAAGAAGGAATAGTGACATTCCTGCAAGGGACAACCTCTTATACAGCTACAGCTTTCTGAGCTCATGCTTTCAGAACCGGATGTTTCATTTTCTTTCTCCTTTTCCATATTATCACCGCTATGCCCCGACCTCCTCTGGAAAATAACACTGCTTCTTCAGTGAGGTTCCCTGGAGACCTCTCAGATGTCGGCTAGACTGTGGGTGAGGCTTCTGTTATTCCCAACTCTGAGAGTCTGCTTGTTTCTGGACACTGACACACAGAGGCATGCCATTTCTCCCTACATATGGAAGGGAACTGGGAAATGTGTTGTTAGCACCAAAATAATTCCTCACAATGGATCGAGTCATGAGCAGATCAGGGAAGCATCGTGACCAAGGGCTTCTGGGTGGGGCTTGGACATTCTTGCATTTTGTGTCATGAACTGTTCACTGTAATGATACCCTGCTTGCTGCCTTCTTGGCAAGGCAGTGATTTTAAGCACCAGAAAGGAGAAACCCTGACCTGTGGGCAAAAACTCCATCCAAGACCTAACCACAAGCTGCTGTTTATTTGGGTAATACTGCTGAAACTATGACTTAAATTCTCAAATTTCTCTAATGTCTTGTCTGCGTAAACAATCTTTTGATTACTATTGGAGTTATCAGTAGGTATGAAGTAACACAAGGGGTGATTTGGGTGAGCCAAACAGTTGGACACCTTCTCTCTGCTGGCCATGGTGCCTGAAGTTCTATCATCTGTGGTTCACACCACTGAATCAAGATAAATTTTTCAGTGTTCAAAAGTTTCCTAATACAATTTTCCCTGGATTGATAGTTGAAGCAGGTAGATGGGAGTCAAGGTAGGCTACTGCATTCTGTAAACTCAGCCCTCTCCTCCCCAGTTCCAAACCCACTAGCAACTAGTACCTGTGACCTTCATAACGTCCTGGTTTGGTCCTGGCCAGTTCTGTACCAGCTCAGGATGTTAGTGTCCTTCATATGCCAGCAGATGGGGTTTGGCAGCTCACTCACTCATTATTAAGTCAGCAAATAGTTATTGGGCAGGTCCATGCTCAGGGACCAGGTATTTTGGCCAGACTTTGGGCATACTGGAGTGAACAAAGTCCCTGCCTTCATGGAGCATACATTATAGTGTAGAAGGTAGAGAATAACAAGTTCACCAGTAATGTGGGTCATATGGTGGCAAGTTATATGGAGACAATGGGGAGTGGGGGGGCTAGAGAGTGAAAGGGATGGTGAAAGATGTGTATGATATTATATTGGCAGACAGAGAGGTTCTCTTGGCTGAGGTGATGATAGGGCAGAGAGTTGTAAGCAGTGGATGAGTTACTGGGACCAGCATGCCAGAACAGGGAGTGGCTGGGGCAGAGTACCTGAGTGGGAGCAGGCTTGGTGGGGCTGAGGAACAGCTGGAGGCCGGGGTGGTTGGGTGGAGGCATGGAAAAGGTGGTAATGAGGAAGTCAGAGAGGTTGGGTAACAGGAGGAGTTACTCCTGATTCCCCAGTCCAAGTGCCTTGAAGGCCTGGACTAAGCCCTGGTAGAGGACTCACTGAGGAGCTCGATCCTGAGTCCTGGTTACCTGGATAAGGCCACACTGCTGTCTTCCCTCACAGTTCCTCTCAGATCTGCAAGTTCTCACTGAGCAACTATTACCTGTCAGCTATGGTCTTAGGCTTGCTGAGGACACAGGAAAAAGTAAGATCCTTCCAGTCTTAAGGAGTTAATAGCTGGATTTGCAGGGAGGGGAGGCAGTGCAGAGCAGGTGCAAGGCAAGTACCCCAAACCCTGTACTGTCAGGCAGAATATAAGGCCTCTTCTTGCTATGTCTTTAAAAACAAAACAAAAAGTAAATAAAGACAATGTCTTTTCTTTTCTCTTTTTTTGAGACAGAGTCTCGCCCTATTGCCCAGGCTGGAGTGCAATGGCACGATTTCGGCTCACTGCAACCTCTGCCTCACAGATTTAAGAGATTCTCCCATGTTTAAGAGATTTTCCCACCTCAGTCTCCTGAGTTGCTGGGATTACAGATGCGCACCACCATGCCCAGCTAATTTTTTGTATCTTTAGTAGAGACGGAGGTCTTACCATGTTGGCCAGGCTGGTCTTGAACTCCTGACCTCGTGTTCCACCTGCCTCGGCCCCCAAAGTGCTGGGATTACAGGCGTTAGCCACTGCACCTGGCCGCCATTTTCTTATACATCCCCTTGATGTGTAAGAGCTCAACCACACTCCAGTTTCCATGGGCACACATTGTGGCAAGTGTTTTGTGAGTTTTATGGAGATCCCTGAAGATTTCAGGAGTATCTCAGGACAGTTCATTCAGTTTCCAGGCTCACCCTTTTGTCCTTTGACTTCTCCTCATACCCAGATTCTCTCAGGGCTCCAAATTTCTCTCTCTGCCCTTTGGCTACCTAACTCCACCTGGCCTCAGTGAATCCTTCCTCCTTACCAGAAAACACTCCCTCTCTAACACCCACTCACTGTTCAATCCTGGACCAGTCATCTTTCTTTCCGTGTCTGTCTTCCCCCCTCCGCCGCCCGGCCCCATGTGTTTGTATGTGTCTGTGTGTGTGTTTCACATCCAAATCATGTCTACTCTAAAATACCTCTATTTCTTCAGGCTGGATACCAACTTTCAACATGGGGGTGTTTAAGGAATATCTGCTGGTGGGAGGGGTGCAAGGCTGGGGGCTCATTTCCTAGCTGCAGCAACATAACTAAGCACTGCTTTGAATTTGACTTTCTGTTTATTGAGGTGACTTTTGAAGGTGCTTTGGTGGAGATTATGGGAAGTGGTTAAAGACCCGTAACCACTCTACCACCACTGTTCCTTCTCTCAGTCCCTGATGCCACTATGTCCCCTGAGGGAGGCAGGGTGACTGTACAGCCTCCCATGCAGAGTCCCTGCTTTCCTGCTTCTTCTGATCCATTCTCCACACAGCTTCCAGGAATGACTTTCTGTAAGTTGAATCCAATCCTATTGTTTCTCAGCTTCATTGGTCCTTCTGACCCTTCAGCTAAAAACCCAATCCATTACACGATCTGCAGGGCCTACCAGTCTGGGCCCATCTCTTCAGCATTGGTCCGATCTCCCTTGGATAGGCCATGCCAACTTGTCTTCAGTGCCCTGGGTGCCCCTGTGGTGTTTGCACAAACTGTTCCCTCTGCCTGTAACACTCTACATGCCCCATCACCTGGTAAAACCGTTTGGATCTCTGCTTACCCTTCCAGCTAGACATCACTCCCTCTGGG